TCACCACTGGGGATGCCAAAATATCAGGAAAATTGGGATCCCGGGATTTCGGGATATTTTTTAGGTAATCCCGGGATTCAAATTGAGTCATAAATTTTATGAATATGAGTAAAAATTCAATATCCGAAAGCATTTAAATATACCGTTAAATAAAACTATTTAAAATTTACGATAAATTGATTATAAAACTCATATATCACTAGCTTAGTGTGAAAAGTTGCTAATTTCACTTTTAATGAAAAATCATATTTTGATATAGAGGCTAGATAAATTAAAATTGCATCGTTTCGAAAAGGGTAAAGGTCCTTGTTTTATGTTTTCTCGTTTATACTCAATGAAAAGAAAATTTGCTAAGGCCAAAAAAAGCTCCGAAAATTCGATAAGGCCAAACATGCTCGAAATCAGGCAAAATGTTGAATTCAAAGTTTTGCGAAATACTTGAAGAAAATGGCTATACGAAAATTTTTCCTCTCCTGTACAATTTTTAAATTGGGACTTAGCATCTTTGCACTCAACGCTAGCGATATTTATTAAATCAGACAAATTTTAAAGTAAAACATTTTTTTAATTGTATTTAAAAGACCATGTGATTGGGGAACGTATACATCTCAAATAATAATGTAAATACCAGGTACTTTTGAAAGTGCCGATTAATGAAAAACATAAAACAAAAATATATAAAAACAATTTCTCTAAACATGTTTATTCTACACTATAAAGAAATGGCGAAAGGGGAATTTTTTGGTATTTTTTCGCAATTTACTAGAAATTTTGAGGGTGTACGAGTCAAACGGATCTCAGAATCGGATTCAGCGTGTCGAAATACATGTTGGTAGTTGGGTCTGGTTAAAACACACACCCCTTTTTTTGCCGGTGTAGTTATTATTGCACTTAAATGTTTTCGTAAGAGCAGCAAAGCATTCAAAGCGGAGTCTTCTAAGCTTGACCTGCAGTTTTTACATACAAAACCTACTGATGAAAAACATATTTCGGCATCAACACTTTAAGGCTGAACTGTCAAAAGGTAGACATAATCCATTTGAAAATAATGACCCCTATCTCCTCCATTACAAAATATTTGAACTTCTTTTACCAGCACGTCGGTCAAATTATAAGTTTTTCGATTTGAGGAAGTTTTGAGTAAATTGATCTAAAAAATTATCTAACTTTAATTAATGCAAGCAAATCCCGGGATTTCTGGGACGTCAAAAACACCGACATCCGGGGATTGGCATCACTAGTCCCGACCCACCGGTTGGGAACCGATGCTGTAGAGCGTTTCAGGCCGAACTTACTGGCATGAATGATGTTGACCTTTGGTTGATTTATACACAGCCGGTGCTTCGGAACCTCATCTAATAACGCCATCGAATGTTTGTTTATATCTAGAGCTCGGAATCTCATGAAAATGCATGTTTTTATTGGGCATCTTCAAATGGAAATGGTTAAGTTATCTTTACGAATCATGAAATTTCATTTAATATGGCATTCAATTGTTAGTGCACATTTTCGCATATTTTGCAGTAAATGCATGATTTTGCATATTTTGCAAAAATACCTGGTTTTGCTTATTTATTGCGCATATTTTAGTATATTTTACAAAAATTTACCTATAATCTTTCCCAAATATTCATGCGAATATCATCTCGGATAGCCAAACGGCCATTAAGGCATTCTCTTGTACCTCTGATGTCAACTACACCTTTTCCAATAGTATTTCAGAAAAACACAAATGTATTTCAGAAAAGGCCAAATGAATTTCAGAAAAGGCCAAATGAATTTCAGAAAAACTCAAATATATTTCAGAAAACCTGAAATGAATTTCAGAAAAGGGCAAATGTATTTCAGAAAAGCTCAAATGTATTTCAAAAGAGGCCAAAAGTATTTCAGAAAAAGCCAAATTAAATCCAGAAAAACACAATTGTATTTAAGAAAGGTTCAAATTTTTTTCAGTAAAACGCAAATGCATTTCAGACAAGGGCAAATGTATTTCAGAAAAATATTTTTAGAATACAGTTATGCTTTTCTGAAATACATTTGTGCTTTTCTGAAATACATTTGCCCTTTTCTGAAATACTTTTGCGTTTTTCTGAAAATCATTTGATTTTTTCTGAAATACAATTGTGTTTTCTAAATTTCATTTGGCTTTTTCTGAAATACATTTGGCCTTTTCTAAAATACATTTGAGCTTTTCTGAAATACTTTTGTCCTTTTCTGAAATACATATGAGGTTTTCTGAAATACATTTGAGTTTTTCTGAAATTCATTTGGCCTTTTCTGAAATACATTTGTGTTTTTCTGAAATACTGTTGGAAAAGGTGTAGTGGAGGACTGTAGGAGAGAGCTGGTCTATATCTCTGATCAATACGAAATTACACTTATATGGGTCCCGGAACATAGGCACATTTACGGAAATGAGGGAGCGGACGAACTAGCAAGGTGCGGCACTGAATGTGTCCCACGCAAAAATTACCGAAATTTATCACTTGAAGGCCAAGCAGAGGTGGAACAGGATCGTAGAGAATTATCCGACAGTTCTACTCACTTAAAACCAAACCTCTCTTAGGAATAAGCAAACTACAAACTTATTGCAGTGTGCACAGGGTACTGGCCCATTGGGGTACATGCCGAATGGATAGGATTGCCCTTCAATAGTTTCTGCCCCAGTTGCGATGACCCTGGCTGAAAAGAGACAGTCGAACACTTCCTGTGCGAGTGTCCAGCCCTCGCAAGGATGACTCTTAAGACACTCGGCAAGCCATTCCTGCAGAATGTTTTAGAGTCCAGCTGCCTCTCTCTGTATGGCATACTGAAATTCATAAATACCGCCAAATGGCTATAGGTTGCATGAGTTGTGGAACCAAAATGGCAAACTTGCTAATTGCTTGTCATCTGAACCACTATTAAACTGTGAATGTTTCTACCCTCCAGTACTGCTGGAGTCAATAGCTACTTTTGATCCTCTACTGCACCGACTCCTAGGTAAGTAGCTACTCAGAGTCGAACCAGTCGTAAGCAGAAGAGCGAAAAACTACGACAGAGGGCGCCCATAAACCACGCAAGTGACTACTTTAGTAACCCCCGGATGAAATACACTGCAAGTAGTCGGTCGGTAATTGACGGTGTTTATCAGGTAGCTACCGATTCATCAGTCCTGTAGTCATTCCCCCGTACTGCATGGTATTTACAGCAGACAGTCTGCTTGATTTCAAACTAATTTTATACATACATATGTACATAATTGTATTTTGAAGTAAATAATTTTCGTTATTTTCTTGTTAAAATACATGTTATTTATTTTTATACCGGCAATAAAATATTAGAAAATATTTTTATTTGCACATTTTACCTGTTTATAGCGTTTTTCTGTTGGAACACCCCTGGCTTAGACTGGTTACGATGATCACCACTGGCCACTGCATAAGGTTTTTTCCGGCGAACTGACTTTGTGGTCACAAACATTTATTAATATTAAATTTGAATGCTTCTGTGTCGAAGTAATTTTTCTCGTTAAAGAAGTTTACTCAATTAGTGTCGGGAATTTTATAAGACGTAGCTATTTTCTAGTAACTCTTGTCAACGGTGGAGACCTCTGGTAAGTGCCGGTGGATAGGCCGAGTAATTATCTGACAGCATTCGGCAATAGTGAGATGACTTGTGAGGGTTATTGCATAGACCTGTTATTGATTCGGTTTTTCAGGGCAATAATGAGACTACGGGTGAGCGCCGGAGGCTAGGCCAGTTGATCATCAGGCTAAGTCTCGACAATGGTGGAACTGCAGGTAAGCGCTGATGGTTGCGTTGGTGGACAGTCGGGGCCTCCCGGTAAAGGTGGGACTACTGGTGAGTTTCGGCAATGGAGAACTACTTACGGTGCTACTTACAACACTTTCTCTCCTATTTTATCTTACCGCTGTTGCATGCGATAACTTTTACATCGTTGAAAAATGACTTTTAAGCCGCCGAAGAAGTGTTCTAGTACGACCTTGCTTTTACATTTTCGTTGTTTTCCGCATCACTATACACATCACATATATATAGATACCATACTTAGTTGTGTGGCTCAGAATTACGAGAATACCCAGAGAAGTCCACCAAACACCAATTTTATATGGTGTTTACATGAGGCAATTTTACAGGCAACTTTTAATTGAAATCAACAATCGCCTGGTGTGAACGGCCTTTCAACTATTCGCCTCCAATGAAGTTGGGGGCAGCCAAATTTTTATTGTACTAATTGCCTCTAAAATTGACTGTAAAATCGCCTCGTGTAAACACCGTTTTAGGGATAATTTCGTGCATACGCTTCACCATCCAACTTAGTGGTCCAAATATAAAGAAATCTGGATTTGCGAGACAATGCTACTCTGGAATACATTTTTCAAGTTTTTTAATGAAAACGATAAGTTTTATTTTTAATATGTTTTTTTATTATTTTCATTTAAATTTAAAATGAAAACTAATTATTCCATCAAGTTTGTTGTTGAAATTTTTGACTTTTGTATTGTATGATTCTGTTACAGAAATTTAGTTCAAGTATATAAACACATACATACATAAATGCAAGCGCTTAATATGCAGTTGAACATGGTAGCTCTGTAAATATGTCCTTAAAATTCTTCATGTATGGTTATTAATTAGTTTCATTACTTAACTAAATCAAATTTTTAAAAGACATTGTTATAACATAATTTTTTTTTAAGTGAAAGCAGTTTAAACGCCCTTTCTTAAAAAAAAACAAATGTTCACAATTTCACACTTAAAAATTTTATAATTGAAGGCAAAATAACATACAGACATATAAGTATATAGTAAATTAATAGTAACAAAACCTAGTTATTGTTGTTGTTTTTTTATCGTTAATGAAGTTTAATGGTTATGGAAAAATGCTTTGGCTGCATTTTAAAACTAAAAAGATCAATTATATTTTACGACTTTATTCACACACTCTCATGTACATATGTGTTAAGCTATGTTTTTGTGTGTAAGTCATATTTTCCTTTTTTAAAACCTAATAAGCCTAGCATCCAACTACATTTTAGTATCACAGTGTAAAACGATCGCAATAATAGCGCATTCTCAAATTGAATTTTTTCTTATATGTATGTTTTTTATACTTTTTTTGAAACGCAAATTTGTCTAATCATTTTTAACGTTTTTTGTGTTGCTTATTTCTGCAATTCTGTTCTCCTCTTCAAGATCCTCAGTTTTTTCTTTCCGTTTTCTCTTTTTTGGTATGCAAATTTTTACTGAGCGCGCGATCTTCTCTGTGCCTGCCGCCTCCTTACTGTTGGCCTCGCAGTCGACATAGACGCGCACGCGCGCCTCCAAGAGATCACTCGGTTAGCCTTTCGTTCTCCTTGACTAGCCTTGCTGACGGTTGATTGCTCGTCTCCTGAGCACTTTCCGTTATACATCGACGGCGCCCACTTACTGATGCACCGCTGCAGAACCAATACGCTGCCCATACATGGCATAAGGCGAATAGTAGGGTCCTAGAGCCGCTGCTGCAGCTGCTGCAGCCGGATTGAAGGCAGTCATACCGAAAGCTGAGGGCGCTGTTAGCGCACTTGTTGGTATACCGCCGGGTTTTGCATATGGATGATAACGCGCCGCAGCTGCTGCGCTCATTGGGCTCAAGGGTGGCGTTGGATAACCACCACGCAGGGCCGACGGTGGAAAGAGCGTGCCCAGCAGTGATTGAGCTTGTGACTGAGCCAAAGCGGCGGCGGCAGCAGCTGGATCGGAAAGATTGCCAGTGTGTGTGCGTAGATGGGAGAACAGTTCGTCGGAGGTCTGGAAACGCTTGCCGCAGTACGCGTCACCCACCACCCAGCTGCATACGTAAGGCGCCGAGCGTGCAGCAGCAGCATTAGCGGCAGCAGCGGCGGCAGCTTGGGAGTAAGGATGATTCGGTGGGAGACCGGCGGCGCCACCCATCATTGCCATGCCGTATTTTTGATGTTCACATTGTGAGCAACCAGCCGGACAGGGGGCGCCCATAAGCATTTGTTGCGTATGTGCCGAGTACGGGCAGCCGGGGCAATAGGGATCCTTGCAAACAGGCACAATGGCCTCGCCGCCCGATGGTGTCTTGATGCGTTGATAGCTGATGTAAGGGTTGGGTTGGCCGCCGGGACCATTAGGACCACCCGGATAGCCGCCGCTTGCTGCAGCAGCTGCTAACATGGCAGCGTGATGATGCGTAAAGCCGCCGCCAAACGGTGGACGGAAAGCGGGATTGGCGTGTTGCTCCATTCCGGGTGGACAGCAGAGCGCAGAAAGCGGATTCATATGACCATATGGACTGGCCGCCTTGTAAGCGGCAGCAGCAGCGGCGGCAGCGGCAGCCATGCTGCTCATCTCCTTTGGGTGTGTGGCCGAGCCATTGGCATTGTTGAGCACCTCCATGCCGGAGCGCACAATGGGGCTGGCACCGCGCTGTGACGAACCGGCGGGTGATACAGTTTTGCGATTGTTATCGTGCGGGTTGGGTGTGGCACCATGACCATTTTCCATTTTAATTGTATGTGATTCCGGTGTGCAATTGGACTTGCTGCGCGATGGTGCGCGTGTTGCATTATCAGCACCGCTAGAGGAGCATTTTGAGCTGGGTCGTTGTTCGTCCGACGATGATGATGATGACTTGAATGAATTGTGATTTTGGGCGCTGAGCACATTTGTTTCGTACGGTTTGAAGGCCAACTTCACTTCGGTGGTGGTTGGTGTGGTGGATTTCGGTGATTTAGCCTGAGTCGGCGACTTGGATGCGCTCAAATCAGAGCTGGCATTCGATGAGGTGGACGATGAGGATGAAGATGCGGACTTCTTTGATTTATCCATAGCGAGTAGAGGTTTGACGGCCGAGGAATCGGCCCCAATTTGTGAGCAAGTCTGAGCCAACAGAGCGAGTGGACTCTTTTTGGAATCCATCTGGAAAGAGAGAAAGGTAAATGTTTATTTAGTGGGCTGTGCGTATTAGTACTAAATTTGTAAAAATCAAAATTCCCGAGTGATTTAAAAACCAAAAAGTGAACTGTGTGTGGTTTTTCATAAATAATAGTAGCTTTCTTTTTACCTTTTTTAAAGTTGTCAACTGCGCCTAACGTCTAACTATGCATATGTAGAAATGCATGAGTTATTACAAAATTTGCGTACGAATAAAAAATTTCCTAATTTATACTCCATTGACAAAGAGGTGTGCTTATCTATTGCTATTACTATAATTCATACTTATAGCAAAAAATATGTTTTATTTTTTTAATTCAAATATTTTGATTGCTTTTTGTACGCGGCCGCTTTTTTATGTCGCACATTTCTTACTCAAAAACATTCATAACTCAGTTTTGACGGCTGCATCATAAAGGAATTTCAAGCTATAAAACCGCTTTCACCGCCAATGACAACGGAGCCAATGAAATACATTTTTTGTGACTATAATGACCAACATTTATGAGTCCATATTGTGGCACAGAGATTATGAAGTCAATAAAATTAGCGATATGGTAATAAAAATAAATGTCATTTAATGCAATCGTGTTTTTCTTTTTAAGATTTAAATTATTATTTAAATTTTATTTTACGAGTGCATTAAAACATGTTTTTTTTTTTATTAAAAAAAAGAAGAAATCAAAATAAAACCAAAATACGAAATGAATAAAAATTCGCTTAGCTTGCTGCGGACTTATCTGCGATAATAGAGGCTTGTGACGTTAAGAGAAGTAGTCAACTGAACGCTGCTGCTACCGCGGGTACGAAGTGGTGGAAAACCCTTTGTTCTTCTCACTGCGAATTGCTGTATATTCGGCATTTTTAAACGGCGATACAGTTTTTTATAATATTACAGTTTTTATAGCCGGTTACATCAGCGAAAATGATTTTTTATTTTCTGTCGATTTCCACATAAAGTTAAAAAAATTAAAATCTTTTTTCACTTAAATTGCCTTCGTGAAATTGGCTGTAAATGTCTGACAGTGACTATTTTTTTGACTAATTTTTTCTATTAAATTTTTACATTTTAGAGTTAAAAGATATATCATTATAAAATTATATTCAACAATTTTATTGAGCTTGATGGCGCTTGCAATGGAAAATGTTGTGGAAAAATAACAAATAATTTACACATGGTGAATTTATGATACAAAATATTTTATTTTATCTGTATAATTTTTTGCTTTAATCCACAATAAAATATTTGAGTTTCCAAAAAATTATGATCTACATATAATTTATATACAGTATTTTTCGTTTATTTTGTTAAAGCTTTAAGCTCCAGCGCGTAAAATTATGTGGGATTTCCAAAGCACATTAAATGACAAACTTTGGTATTGAACAATCATCAAGACATTACTTGAATAAAAGTAGTCATAGCCATTAAGTTGTTTGCCCCACAAGACATTTTTTAAGAAGCAAAGGTTTTTTTTTATTTCAATGTCTAGTAGAAATTCAGCATTAGGTATAATTCATGACAGATAAAATTATTGATTTTCTTTTCCAGTAATTTGGCATACATCATATTGCAACAGTTTTAGTAATGCCACAGTTTGGAGTTTTTAGTTATTTTGGATGTTTAAATGTTGTCCTTTTTTTTGCATTTTTTATAGCCAAAAGTGATAATATTTTACTTGAAGTGATTTCATTGTAATATGGTGTTTATTTAATTGAGCTATAGGAAATTATTTTTTTTAGCTTTACTGCTGTTTTTTAGCTGTAATATGCACAAAAACAAGTAATTCTTACGCAAAAAACAAAACCGACTTCAATTTTCATATACAAATTTGTGATCCACTGACTAAACCAAATTAATATGGGAGGTACCACCTTTCCTTTAAAAAAAAGAATTGTAGAAATCGGTAAACATGGTCCAAAGTTATGCGATAACATACATAAAAAAAATATAAAGAAATATTCCGACGAATTGATAACCTCCTCCTTTTTTGACGTTGGTTAAAAAAGCTTTATTGTGAATTTGTTTTCATTTTAAAGCACTACAAAAACGGGCTAGTTTTCTCTCATCACACGACCTTATTAGTTAGGGAAGATTCCGTTTGAAATCTCGAAGCTCGCGATTATTTTTTAAACAATGAGGTTGTTCACGCTTTCCTGGTTATCAGCTTATGTGGTTATGCGGTTATATTTTTTTATTAAGTTTACAACAATAAAATACACTACATATTAATAATTTTTAACCAGATAACCTGATAACCAGGTAAGCGTGTACAACCTCAATGTTAAACAGTTCAGAGAAAAATTTCGTGAAAAAAAACCTTACGCTGCAAATTTCAGGGTGAATAATTTCTTGACTCATAGTTTTAAAATTTTTTATTTCAGTTAAAACATTTACAGCCAATTTCACGAAAGCAATTCAAGTGAGAAATGACTTAATTTTAGAATGTTATATGGAAATTGACAGAAAATAAGAAATCATTTTCCATTTAAATTGCTGCTGAAACCAGTGGTAAATTCTGAGATTTTTAAATTTTAATACAATTAATTTTGAATAAAAATTTTTAATTTTTTTTTTAAAGAAATAATGTTACGTTACTACTTTTTGTGAAGGGTTTCTTCTATTTATCATGCTTTCCAGAGTTCGTTGAGCGATTATACTCATTCATATCCAAACAAATTTTCGTAACTTCAGTAAAATTTTAAAAACTTTCATAAAATTTTACATTTCTTCTGTTAGCATTTATTCCTGTATTGCTCCTTTAAAATACCACGCTGATCCCCACTAACTGACCCATTCCCTTAACAAAATTTTTCTCAATTTTGATCCTACTAACTCTCAGTTTCCTAGTGCACCTAAATATTTCAATTCTTGTTGCGTAAATTGTTTCATGCCGTTTAGCTCCAACTTACCGTTGTTGGTATGGGTGACAAATAATCTGGCTGCAAATATTGGTTGTTGCCAATGGTAACAACACCGCCGCCACCTTCTAAAACAACCATTTTACACAAATCCAAAGGTTGTATAGAAAGCGTGTGTAACGAAGTTGAGTGATACAGCTAATCCACAAAAAATGCCAAATCCAATAGGTAAAGAGGTTTTGCGTAGCTTAAAGTTGGCAAATGCGCTGATGTGTGCGGCGGGTAATCCAATTATTTGTTAGTTTGAGTTACAAGCCGTAAAACTGGCTTAGTTAGTTTTTTTAGTAATCCAGTACTAATGTAGTAACAGCACAATTTAGTGCATATTTTTGAAAGCACTGAATTTGCATATATTCTTTTCCCAAGAGAGTAGTAGTTTTTTCTTATTCACTTTTCGCTTCAGCGCTTTTGAAGCAGTTTTTTTTAACAAATTTCTTCATTCACTCAAATATTTGCAGTATTTCAGAATTTGCTTCGGCACACTAAGCGCACTCCAAACACAAGTGAAGCACTTGTTATTTATGTATTTCGCAAAATTGGAAATATATTTTGATTTTTGTTTTTATTCTGCTTTTGTTGAGCACAAACGTTTACGGCTGTTAAATTAGCTTAAGAGTGCACATATATTTAAGCAAAGTATTTAGATAGCTACGTTCCGAGTCTCTTTTCAAACACGTCCGAACGCAAAGGAAGCCAAACACGAACTAAAATTTCTTTGGCACACAACTAACTTAGGTACTTGGTAAGCGAGCATTGAATCGATGCGCTACTAGAGCGCGTTAAATGTACGCTCACTGAGAGTCCGCGCTCCATTCAGTTCTGCAGAGAGCTGACATGCCGCTCAAAACCTGTAAAGAGCGCGCGTTTGCATGCCGCCATGGGAGTAAGCGAGTCCATTTAGATGCGTGTAAGTAAGAAAGCTATAGAGTAATTTTCAAATATGGCGTACTTTTTGTCCAATCAAATCGCATGCGCCATAAAAATGTGTGCGCTTTGATCTTTTGTTGGCGCGCGAAGGCAGCGGCATGGACAGCCCAACTCACCATATATGTGGCGCTGCTAATTGTGGCAGCTAGCTGTCAAGCGGTTGTTAACAGATGAATGAATGGATGGTTCGTCGCTTTTGTTAGTTACGCGCGGGGGAAAGAGAGAAAAGTAGGCAAGAGCGCGCACAAGAAAAGTAACAGGTTTTTCTCAACGCGCTCGCTCCCATTGCTATAACGCTCCGCATACTTGCACACACTTACGCTCTGCTCTTGCTTAATTTATTTTACTTGCTCACAATTTTTAGCCAATCACTGTAGCTTATTGGGTGCGCAGCACAATGGCAACACTTGAAAATGGGGTTACCTTTAGGTAAATGTGTAGTGAATGCGGCTTGTTGAGCGCGTTGTAGAGCGCTAGGGACAGTTGAGCGCTGTGCTCTTTGCATTATTTATTTAACATTGTCATCAAACATTAATTTAGGGGCTCTCCTAAACTTTACTAGGTAAGCAATGCGCGAGGCGAGTGAGCGCGCTCCTTCCTGTTTCTACTACGCCATATACCTACATATGTATTCTGCCTTTTCTGTATTCTGCGCTCTCCACTCCTTTGGCGGCGCTCTTGTCGGTGGCAATCATTGCGTTTGGTTAAGTGACCAAAAGGTTGCAATTAAACTGTCACGTTTATCACGCCTTTCAGCGCAACAACAACAACAACTACAGCAAAAACAACTAACAGTAGCTGCAACGAAAGCAACAAGGAGGCACACAAACGAGGCTATAATTTTCATTTTTATTTTTATTGAGCGCGTTGTTGGCATTTCAAGTTGAACTGCACTCTAGCGCAGCTATGCCGCACGTTGCCGCGCCGCCACACCGCTTGCTAAATTGTCGATGGCACTACTCAGCTGCTAAATGGTTGCATTCGCTTGTAAATCGCTCACATTTCTGGCTCTTTAGTGGCATTAAAAACTTGGTTAGCACGTCGCGTTACATGCGTTCATGCATATCTATGATACGTGCATGTGTAACTACTTACTTACAGCGTTTGTGTATACGAATAGAAGCGTATAAAATTTATTCTCGCGTAAAATTTTTACACTTCAATTTAGCGCGTTTTTTGTGTAGCATCAGGACCTTCACTATGTAGTTCACTTTATTGTTTTTTTTTGCTTTTTTGTTTGTAATTTTAGCAGTTAAGTGAAAAGTAGCGTTTGCTAACTTCTTCGTGTGCGTACTCAACACGCAACTACCGCCGCACTTGCTTGCAGCACGTAATAGGTTGAGCATGTTTTGCCGTCGGAGTTTTCAGTTTCTATCTCACACAACTTTTATGCGCCACCTTAAAAATATGTTTTTAAATGTTAAAAGAGAATGGTGCACTACCCTGCAAAAATCGCGACTACTCCATGCATGCGTGTAAAGAGTACTCCCTAAGGACCAAAGAGTACTCCAAAATTAACCACAATTCATATAAAAAATATGGTCCAATTAACATTGCGATGTCCTAGGGCAGGACCATATACTCCATCCCTGCATTACATCAGAGTAGCACAAAACTACTCCAACATATTAACAATGGCATTGTTGTTATATTTTTTCGTTTGTACACGCTTTTGTTCTTCACTTCTCAAATGCTTTTTCGAAATTAATAAAAACCAAGACAAAAATTAAAAATTACATGTTGCCTCTGACGGTATTCGAACCCGAACATGCTGGGAGCTAAGAACTAACATCGAGCATCTCTACACGTTCAGCTATAGCCAGACATACAAATGTGCTTTCAAATGCTCAACTTCAATACCGTTTCGTTAAAACACGAGCAGTGATCGGATAACAAACAATAAGCTGGCGCAGAGACACGAGTTGGTCCGCTACAGCATGACAGAGGAACACTTTTGTAAGTACTCCAATTTACCACAAATAGACTACATGGTCCAACGATTTTTGCAGGGTACTGGAATATAATAGCAGAATCACAATTTCGCGATCGGTCGGTCGCCAATTACGATTCTGCTATATTTCAGAAAATCAATGTAACAATTTTAATGAGATTAGTACAGCTAATTCCAATTTACCAAGTCAAATTAATTTCTTAAACTTATGCCTCTTATAAGCCAGAAACTAGCGGAATTAACTTATGGATCACAAAGATCTTTTCTTAAACCTTGGCGTACCAATTCTATCTGCTAGCTTTTTGTATGGAGTTTTTTTTTTATTTAGTGCTTATTTCCTTTTAAAGGCAATAATAAGATCAGCATCGAATTTGAAGAACTTGGCTTTTCCATTGTATTTATAGGCGCTCTTGCTTTCATAGTCTACCCAAATATGCTGAGTCTAAGATCCTTTTAACCATTCCATCAGCTTGATGAAATCCTTCCAAGTTTATAAGGAGATGAAAGTTGTGCTCGCTGGCATTCTGAGCAATTAAGCAGGTTTACACCTGTCGTCCTAGAGCCATGTTCTTTTCGAGCAATGATTATGAGTAGTATTTGTCGATTTGATTAACTCGAGTTCATTCCAGGATTCGATGCACCATGAAAATTTGTTCTATGTCTTTCGCACAATATATAAGATGGATGTATTACGAAGGTTTCTTGCGTGATAATTGATACTAAGAAATGATCTCTCTTTTTATGGAATGGACAGAGTAAAATTTAAAATAGGTTCCATTCTTGGGGGATTCAATTATAATTAACAGGTTTAATTATTATTCATGGCCGCTGTGGTGTAGTGGTAAGCAGTGCGCGCTTCCACTCGGCAACGCCTGGGTTCAAACCCTGGTCAAAGCAACATCGCAAAAAATATAGAAAAAAAAAGGTTTTTTCTTAACAGCGGTCGTCCCTCGGCAGGCAATGGCAAACCTCCGAGTGAATTTCTGCCATGAAAAACAGCTTCTCATACAAATACAATCGCCGTTCGGAGTCGGCGTAAAACTGTAGGTCCCTCCGCTTTGTGTGACAACATCAAGGCGCTCACCACAAATCGGAGGAGAAGCTCGGCCAAACACTAACTTATGTGTAAGCGCCACTCTATATTAATTAAAAAAGTTAATGCGGAATTAAATTTTCAAGAAATTGATTGAGTGTCTTTTAGATTACAGCGATTATTATTTTCGGCCAGTGGCTCTGAACCTTTTTTACAGCAGTTAGGGACGATTGCATTGAACTGTAATGAATATATTGGCGAGCAAATGTAAAAATTTGGCGGAAATCGCTTATTTAATGGTAACATACAACATAACTGATATTAACCGATATTTGTTAAATTGTCATTATTTATAGTCTAACGAATTTTATGGAGATATCGTAATTCATCGAGTTTTTTCAGCGTATCGAGTTATCGACATTTATTGATTTACTGAAACTTGTCGATTTATCGAATCGAAGTTCTTGGAATTTTCAAAAACATCAACTTTTCGAAATTTCAAGGTTATATGACTTTATCGAGTTATGACTGCTTATTGAATTTTATCGTGTTACTCGAGTGTAACAAGTTATCAAAATTTGTCAATAGCTTTCGAAAAATATTGAACTGTCTACTTCAGCCGATTTATCAAAATTTATTGATCTATCCAAACTTTATCGAGCTAGCGAATTGTATCGAGATATGTACATTTTTGAGTTACCGAAATTTATCGAGCCCTATAAACGCACTGTTATCGAAAATTATCGAAATTAGTCGTGTTCTTTAATTGAGTTACCGGATTTTAGTGCTTTTGAAATTCATTGGATTATTGGTGTTATCAAATTACCGAAATTTATCGACAAACAGGAACACATTGAGTCAATTCCAAGTCCTGTCAAAGACCTTCAGAGTTATAAAAAATTTTGGTTACGTTTTAGTTCCAAAACAGGACATTTTTCGTTAAGCACCTCATACGTTAAGTTAGAAAACTTCTCCAATGGTCTTAAAAACATAAACTAGTAATTTTTAGAAAAAAAAACCGACTTCAACTCCCATATAAAAAATATATATATATATATATCTCATGATCCACCTCTGAGACACTACCTTTCCGATGCAAAAAGAATTATCGAAATCGGTTGACGTGGTCCAAAGATATGCGGTAACATACATAAAAAAAGTCGGTTAAAAACTAGCCAATGTTCGCTTGCTTCGCGGCGCTTAATAAGAACTTTTGCGTGGGTCAATGCGAAAAGAGCGTTTAAAAGAAAAAACGGTATGTAAAGTAAAAAAATTTAAACGTCTAAAGGGCAGAATCCTCCTCATAAATAAGCTTTGCCGATGGTCTTATTTCCACCTGTGAAATCTCTGCCAAGCGTGCATAATCTTTTTTGATCTTGCAACTACAACATAGGTACGATGCGTAAGCTAATAAAAGTCCTTATAAGGAAACCTAAGATCGCCTCGCTACCCAACAGGATGAAGTATTTTTCCGTACTTCGGCCAAATGAGTCGTGTGATATCTTGAATATCGTTTAAATGAAGCCATTGATGTACCCAGCGTGTTCCGTCTTGGACGGATGTGGTCGAATCTTTCCTTGTCAATTCGCCACTTTAACAATTCGTCTTAACACTTATGAACTGGTTTCACACGCCACCAATCGGAGGAGAAGCTCGGCCAACCACTAACATTTGTGTAAGCACCTTGGACCGAACCTGCACAAGTTGAGTATTAGCCATAAATTTGTATTATGCGAAATTTCATTAATAAATCTATAAATGAATGGGTAGTAAAAAAATATGGTTGTTAATTTGTAACATTGTCGAAACATGCCAACATACATATGTATGTACGTATGTAGATATGCTTAATAAATAATGTAATTACATAAAGACATACATATGTAGTATGTATTTAAATATGAATATGTCTTCAATTACACAACACTCTCAATTATGGACAATGGCGAATGAGCCGAGTGGGAACTGAGAGGATAAGAAACAGCGAGTGTGGAAACGCTTTCCTGATGACTTTGTTGGTTGGTTCACTTCAATAGCACCGCTGGAGGCAGCTGACGGCTGGTTGTAATATTTATGCAATTTCAAAGACGCAACGAACAAGGGTACCCACCCGTAGTGTGGCGGTGCAGTGGAGCAAAAAGAGCAACAACAGTAAAAACTCAAAGAATACTCGTAAATTATATGAAAATTGGTAGCACGAAAGGAAGAAACTCATAAAATTAACCACATTTTTCTTCATTTTTATAGCATTTATTATCACATTGCCCCAATGGAGAAAGGCGGCGCGGCTGCAAGAGCAACAGAGACAGGGAAGCGAGAGAGAGTATTTATGTGAGGGCCATAAAAATGCAGTCTTCTCCGTTGGAGTTGGTCGGCGCGGCATATTTGCCTTGGCTTTTGATTTATGCACAGCCCAACTGCGGCGGTGGCAGCAACAGCAGTAGCGGCAGCAATGCCGTGGCAAGTGAGGCAAAATAATGCAATAAATTTGACATTATCGCGAGCAGCCATAAGATATGGCGGAATTGGTAATGGCGCACGGCCAAGGCGCAGGCGTGGAAAGGTGAAAATCTGCGTCCTCAGCACTTAAAAACATATGCATGTATGCATATATGTACATACAAAGCTATTCAAGTGCGCTGCTGATGCGGTAATGGCATGCGCGTAGGTCGTAAAAATGTGAAAATACTACAACAAACGTGATATAAGAAACACATAAAAAAATCAATGCTCAAACGAAGACGTATAAATATTCAAAAGGTTGTGCTACAAAAGAAGTTCAGTGAAAATTTCATTTATGTACATTTTATATGGATATATGTATGTATTCCTATAAAGGCATGCACAAATATAGAGGTTTATATTTATAGGGCAGGAGCGCACATAAAACGAGAAAATGTTCAATATGACGAAAGCAGATAAATACGAAAAACGCTCATAAATGCGGCAAATGGCTAAGACGCGATGAACATCAAAGTACACCTCAAGTATGTAAGTAAGTACCAGGACCTGTTTTAGTACAAAACAATGGCTGAAATACATATGTACGAGTATGTAAAAGCAGACAGTTTCAAGTACTCGGCGGCTCATAAAATGCGAACAGCGTCACTTGCGAGGATAACGTCCAACGTATTTTACGATCTGCTAAGAAGGTGGTCCCCCATAACCGCTGGCTCAAGAACATGCATAAAAAACGATATAAAAAGAGAAATCCAAACAAGTCCATTGCTTATCGTAATTGTTGGGTTATTATTCGCCTGATTTTATGTGGCGAGCAGCATTGGCAATCGCTGGCTATAAGTCTGCGCTATAATCACATAAGTGGCATCTGAAACTAAAAACGTTCGCATTCAACACATTTAGCTGGTTAAAGTGTAAGTTTTATGATTGAGTTGTATTTGGATTATATAATACTTCCTGTCATTCGTTTCGTTTTTTATGGCCTAGGATCAGCATAAAAAGGTTGTTGGATATAAACATACTTTTATGTAATTCTGTACCCATTGGATTTACTCTTCCATACAATTATAGAGGTTAAAGATTTGAGCGCTTTTTAAGCAGTATTATTGGTGCAGTTTTTCGCAAAGTGAAAGTGCAGTTGATTGCGGTAATTGCTTGACAGTTAAAGTTTGAACGTTTTAAATATCTTAATAAAGTATTAAGGAATTCGAAGTAAGGAAAGGCTTGCCGTCGAATACCATTGTCGTAAAAATAAGTCCAACTTATAGTCCCCAAAAATGTGAGTTTAAAAACATTATATTAATAGACAATGGTAAGGCTCTCCGACTTGGCATTTTTAAAAGATATAATATAATCTCAATAAAAGTTTTCAAAAATTATTACAGCAATCTCAGCGTTTGTGGAGAAAATTGGCATATGGAACAGGCCAGAGGCTTAACTATAGGGCGGCATTGCTGGCAGTTAGGTACAAATCGATAAAGTGGTTACCGAGGTACACCTTTGTAGTTATAAAGTGGGCGGTGCCACAGCAGTCTTATTTTTTGATTGAAGATTATTGTAACTGTAAACTTGAAGTAAATTAGCGTCCTCAGTTATTGAAATATCGGAGTTTTCGTATTTCTGAAATTTACCGTTATTCGGGAAGCGGGTGTAATTTTAGTGCGATTTGAATAATTTTCAGCAAATTGCTTTTCCGTACCAAGGTTATTAAGTGCACCGAGTTTGGTGGAAATTGATAAATAGGTTACCGAGATACACATTTGTGGTCATAAGTGGGCGGCACCACGCCCATTATCCAAAAATTTATAATATTCTAATTTTGTGCTAAGTGGTTATTACAATCATCGATTTTAAGTGAATTAGCTCCAGTAGTTACTGATTTATCGCAGTTTTCGTGTTTCTGTAAATTACCGTTATATTACAGGTGGGCGTGGTTATTGCCCGATTTCAAAGATTTTCATAGATTTCATAGCTAGACCCTACCCAAGTTTCGTACCGAGTTTGGTAAGGATTGGTAAAGCTGCTCCTGTGATACAGCATTTCATCATAAGTGGGCGGGGTCACGCCCTTTTTCCAAAAATTTCATAATAATATTACTTCTTACCACAATTCTACTCCACATACTAATTTTCAACAATTTGCATTTAATATTTATCTACTAAAATATCGCAGTTTTTGCATTTTTCTAAAATTCCGTTATATGGGAAGTGGGCGTGGTTACAGTCCGATTTCGCCCATTTTCAATGCCAACCTACCTTGGATAAAGGGCAACCTACGTACCATATTTCGTTGAGATATCAGACGGAGGACAGACAGACATGGCTTAATCGACTTCTCTTCTCATTCTGATCATTTGTGTATACATTTGTCCATTCGATCTCGATTCGTTTGACACGTTTATGACAAATCTATAAACCGAAATATGTGATCTTTACGAGAGTTTTCAAAGATCTGAAGAAAAGTGCACTCACATAAATAATAGTCGTATTTTTTATACATAAGCATGTGGTGAGTATACCTCTAAATTCCTTCTATAATAGTGAACTTATTAAATTTGCCATCATCTATGTACACCCTCAATACTTTCCAACCGGATTATTGGTTTAGGTTATTGGTTGTTATAATTTCGTTAATTGAAAAAATAAAATAAATAAACTCATTTTTGGTGCCAACATAAACATAAAATAAATTTGTTTGCTTCAGTTTTCTTTATTGTTATACGTGAAAGTGTGATATTGGCTATATTTCGAAAATTATTTAACTTCCGTATATTCTGATTTCGCATACGGATTCAGCGGACAATTTTACATTAGCTTTCCTTTAAAAATGTCGCAGGTCGGAAAATGTTTTTTCTGTAAACTTGTGTAAATGATATGAGTTTAGGTGATGTGAGTTAAAGTTAGTTGAGAATAGGTGACTTGAGTTGAGTTGAGGTGAGCAACATAACATGACATAATATATCCTAATTTTCAGGTATATCTTCATCTTTTTACTAATCTTCATCTTCATTTTTATCTTTATCCTTAATTTAAGTAAAATTTTTATCCTTAATCCTTATCTTCGTCTTCATTCTTTTCTTCATCTACATTGCCACGTTCATCTTTACCTTTATTTATATTTACCTTCATCATCACCTTTGTCTTTACATATATTTATTTGTATATCCTTTTGCATGTTAGCCTTCATCATTTCCTTCATCGGCTAGAGTTCCTTTAAAGAGCAGAAAACTTTCGGCAAAGCTGTTTAAATTACCGAAGATTAACATCTTCTTAGACGAACTTAGAGGTTGCCTAAGCAAACGGTCGAGGAAATTGATTACACTGGTCTACAAATTTCAACTTTTTTTCTGCGAATAAGACGGGACCTGGTGTTTCTGAACGGATTTTTCGTGCTGAACACGAATCCGGGGTCAAAAATGTCCCATCACGTCACGTTTTCGAGAAAAAAGGGGTTGAAACCCCTAAAAACAGCGTTTTTGGCCATTTTCGAAAAATTATAGAGCTGAACCCTGACGTGGTACAAATTTTGCATATATCAGAAATTAAAGGCTAAACCGTGCCCTTTCGAATGAGCCCTATGCCGAATTGATCGCGTGCACCCTTAAAGCAGGGGGTGTATTTGTGTTTAGGGGTGCAGGAAAAATTGATCACAGAAAGAATTTAATCTTAAACGATCATAGAAAATTAATAATGCCAAGGTTTTAACTATATTAAAAGTCGCTGATTACGAATCTGCAGTTAGATTTTAAAAATTTAAGATGACGGGTCGAATATGGTGGATATAAAAATTGGACTCCTAGACACAAATACACCCCCTGATCTAAGGGTGCATGCGATTAATTCGGCATAGGGCTCATTCGAAAGGGCACGATTTAGCCTTTAATTTCTGACATATACAAAGTTTGTAGCACGTCAGGGTTCAGCTCTACAATTTTTCAAAAATGGCCAAAAACGCTGTTTTTAGGGGTTTCAACCCCTTTTTTCTCGAAAACGTGACGTGATGGGAAGTTTTGGACCCCAGATTCGTGTTCAGCACGAAAAATCCGTTCGGAAACACCAGGTCCCGTCTTATTCGCAAAACCCTTGTAGACCAGTGTTATGGATTCACCCAAAAATTTAGGGAGTATAAGGATGTGTTATTATTCCTAAAGGGCTGTTTGCAGTTCTCAAGAAAAATTACAAGAAACTAGTAAACCCGCGTGGCGCCAAAACGCTAACTTTTAATTAAATTTTGTAAACAGGTGAAACCCTATTCGCATGGTGTCGGTTTTCATGTAACTTCAAAAAATGAAACCTGTGCACATCTACATATGTAGAATCCCAGTTTTTTAATTTGACTTCTAATTTTGGAAATTCGAAATAACGGCACAGATGTGATAACCTTCAAAAAAAAAAAAATAGATGGTAATTCTAATTAAAAATATTATCGGCCTATAGTTTTCTTAAAACTCTTTCGTTTGACACTAATATTTCTATAATTCATTTATGTATCTTTCGTATAAGTAAAAGGTATTTTCAAACTAAAATCTTTCGCCTGGCATTGTTATACATATTTCAATTAACTGATGAATTAAGTTGAATTTAGTATTTTTAAGCACATGGCAACTCTCGTAAATAAAGTTTAGAAATAAACTATTTTCAAACCCATTTCGATTGACACCCATTTTTTGACAATCCATTTAACTTATTAAATAATTTCAGCTTAATTTTTTCAACAAAAAAAAAAAACAAATGTTCAGCTTAAAGATTTCTTAACACTCGTTCTTTTGATAATCATATTTTAAATTTCATGTAACTTATGTATAATTAAACGAAATACGAGTACCACTTTCAAAACAGGCGGCAACCCTCTTAAAAATTATTTTCGAAAATTTCCTTAAATATTTTTTGCTTGACATTGTTATAAATATTTCAAGTAACCGATGAATTAAGTGGAAATTCATTTTTTAAACACGTGGCAACCCTCCTAAATATAGTTCTTAAATAAAGGATTTTAAACCCAATTCCATTGATAACCATCGGTTAGTAATTCATTTATCTTATTAAATAATTTTAGTTTAGCCCTTTAAACTGGGGCAACCCTCAAACACATCAAACATGTCTTAAATTGTCGAACTAAGTATTTCTTGAAGCTCTTTCATTTGACATCCATTGTTAATATTTCATATAACTTGGGTATAAAATAGTTCAATTAGAGCTCTCAAATAGGTGGCAAACCTATTCAAAATATTTCCAAACTACTACCTTCTTAAACCTCTTTTGTATGACACATATATAGCGATTTACTTACCAAATTCCTTCAATTAAAATTTAATTACATTTTTTTTAACATGTGGCAACCCTTTTCAAAACCATTTCGATTAATACCCATATTTATTAATTGATTTAATTTTTTAATTAATTTGAGCTTAATTTCTTAACAGGTGGCAACTTTTTTCGAAAAAGTAAAACCCTCGTGAACATCCCCACCCGTTTAATTTGGTACCTCACTTTTGAAAATCGAACGGACGGTCCGGAACTGAGAGCATTGATTCGTAAATAACTTAAGTTCAATTGTTCAACAGGTGGCAACTCCTTCCGACCAGTTTTGAAAATCGAGCGAACAGTGCAGATCTTTTATGCTGCACAAAAAATGTCTTCGCGTATTATATATATGTATTATATATATAGATACCTATTTTAATTACCCCATTGCCTAAATTAAAATTGAATTTGATTGTTCAAACAGGTGGCAACCCTCCTACACGCAGTTAGGAAATAAAGTATTTTCAAAACTACTGCGATTGGTACCCAAATGGTAAATACTGATTTAAATATATAAATAATTTGAATTTAATTTTTAAACAGGTGGCAGCCCTATTCAAACACTTTAAAAATATTCTACACGTTCAAACTAAAGATCCCTTAAGAGTCATTCGCTTGACGTCCACATTTTTATACTTCATATAAACTAGACTTTTCAAACAAGTGGCAACCCTCTTCAAAATGTTTACAAACTACTACGTATTTAAACTTTATCGTCTGGCACCCATACACATTTCTATTACCTAGTTCCTTAATTCAAATTGAATTTGATTTTTTTAACAGGTGGCAACCCTCATAAAGATAAGTTAAGAAACAAAGAGTTTCAAAACTATTTGCATTTATGCCCATTTTGTAATAATTGGTTTAGCTTTTTAAATAATTTGAACTTAATTTTTAAAAAGTTGCAACTTTTTCGAAAAAGTTAAGCCTTAGTGCACACCTAAAGTCGGAGCCCTTTGATTTGGTACCTCACTTTTGATAATCGAACGAACGGTGTGGATCTGATGGCATTGATTATTAAATTATTTGAATGCAATTTTTATCAGGTGGCAACTCTTTTCGAAAAAGTAAAACCTTATTGCAAATCTACAAAC